TCCATGTCTGGCAGTCCTGTGGGACCCCACTCTGCAACCTGTCTCTTGGCAGGGCGGCCACAGTCCTGACTGCCTTCCACGTCCTCGGTGGTCTGTGCATGGACGGGGACACCCAGGGCTCAGATGACATCTCATTTAGAACAGCTGCTATGTAGATGACAAGCGAGCACTAGAGGTATTGTGGTGTCCCAGAGATTTCAATCCAATTCCTTCAATATGGATTTGATCCCCACCCATATCCACTGGAGTCTTCTGAACGGCGGCTGGGCTTGTCATTTTCACAAACATCAGTATTCTTCCCATGGAATAGAAGATTTCCATCCATTCAAAGTCCTGCCAAAAATGCAGTTCCTCGAGGCCGAGGTCTCCAGTTTGTTTGGTTTTGTTTTTTAGGTCAAGTCGCATCTCAGCGAAGCAGTTGGGAGAGCAGAAAAGGGCTCTGGTGTGGTGTCGACCCCCCATTTGTGTGCTGTCTTGGTGAGTGAGGGGAGACTCTCCACACGAGGGCACCAAGGCACCGTGTCCAGCCTTTGCGAAGCAACAGCTGGGCTGCGGTTTTGTTAGGGGAATGGGCCTCTGAGGGAGGCAACACTCATCCCTTGGGACAGAGGCAGCAGACACCGAGATGACACAGCGGGGACGAGGAGGGTCAGCGTGGGGTCCATCAAAACAAGTGTGGGTTCCAGACACCCCACCAGTGATGAGGACAGCCCAGCACACATGCCTCAGGAACATCCTCAAATGTGTTTCAGTGCAAGTGAACACGTCAGGGAAGCCGAAACAAAGCAATCCAAGAGGTGACAAAAACCCACACATACTGTCCTGGGACAAAAAAGTAAAGCATAAACCCGTGAGCACTGATATCTCCATGGTCACATCCTGGGGTGGACGGACGGATGGCCAAACAGAGTTTGCCCTTCCCTTGTTCCCAGGAAACTCGTGTGACCCACCCCCCACAAAAAAAAAAAAAAGCCAAGAACAGATTTAGAGTCAGAAAGCATGGAAAAAATTTTTTTGGAGGCACCTTCCTGCCCAACTGAGCCCGTGCTTCTCTCAGCCCTCCTTGTGCCAAGCCACTGAATTGGTGCTCCTCCCTCCCAGGTCACCCACATGTGACTAGGCAGCCCTTGCTCTCCACAATCCTGCACCTTCCAGCCACAGTTCTCTTGGCGTGACAGTGTCTGGGCCGATGTCCTGTACTCTCAACTCCCTCTTTGGAGTAAACCTGCCCTCTTGGAGGGAGATAGATTTAGAGGTAGACACAGAGTTCTATCTCTCTATTTACCATCTGTTCATTTATTTATCTTTTAAGATCTGTTTATTTATGCATACAAGTTTGAGGAAAGTGCCTACCTTGAAGAACACCTGATGCTGGTTTTTTGAGAGATTAAATAAAAATCAAGTCAGGTAAGCTTTATCCCCCACTGCTCTCCATATAATCTCTGCCGAAAATGGACCTATGTGTTACTAATGAAATGGAAGCACACAGGCCTCTGAATATGTGACAGGCCTGCCTACCACCCAGTGCTGGGGCGGGGGAGGGGGTAGTGGGGAGGGAACTCCCTTGCATATGAAATGAAGTTTTGTAGGGCTCCACAATGGTAATATTACAGGTTTATCATTTTAATTGACATTTTGGCATATAAAAATATTCCTACAATCCTGCTTTATATTATAGTTTAATAACAGCTTAACACACATCTATGAAATGTTCATTTCTGTTACATTCAAATTTTAAAATATCTGATGGGGAGCCTGGTTAATAGATAAAGGAGAGTCCCTGGAATATTAAGGACCCTTAGAAGCAGGTAGGGTCCTCGCTGGAAAGTCAAGGACAATTACCATGGGGATCACGGATTTCAATTCTGATTTTTTAAATTCATAAAGGCTCCCTGGAACCCAAACATGGAGACCATGGTGGGTATTTTTACTTCCCCCACGGCCATTGTCAGCTCCCTGTTTCTGCCCCGAGAGCCTCACCAAACACAGACCTATTCCGAGGAAAGTAACAGACATACCAGAGCCACTGATGTCTGTGTAAAGGGTGATGGTGATGAACTCTGGGAACACCCCGCCCCAGAAGCCACCACATCCCCCTTTGGGATTACATGCCTTTCAGCTCTCCACCCACCCTCAGCTTTGCAGGGGAAGTTGGGAAGTTTACTTTGAAAACATGATACATGTGTGAATCATGAGGTAATTTTGGCACTTCGTTCCCCATCAATTTTTAAATTAATTATCTGGAATCAAGCAGCCATTAATTTTGGCCATAGACTTTTTGATTAGAAGTTCTGACCCCGTTTTGCCTTTTGGCAACTCCTATACAATCCGATGACAAGCCGGGTAACCCTTGACAGCTGATCCGACACAGAGTCACACTCTGGCTGGTGATCTGCCATCTTCAGCAATCCTTGGTTACCACGGGACTTTTACCCCCTTCCGCCTGCCTCTGAGAAATACCGCTGCCTTCTGCCAACTGGCCTCTGCAGAAAACTTACTTCCCAGGGAAGGGAAAAATCCACCCCACAATGCCCCACTTTATGCTGTTCCTTCTGTTTCACAAACTTTACACTACAGCATCGCCCATATGTTTGTGCAGTGCGCACAAAGGTTTCTTTAGAAAGGGCTGATGCTAATTATAAATTTAATTTGCATTTTAATTAGAATGGTAACAAATTAAAAGCATGGCCGCTGGAGAATTTTGAACACTTAGCAGAGATTTGGTGTTAGTTGCTTCGTTTTGTCTTTATCTTTTTAAAATTATGTATACATGCAAAACAAACAGAAACAATAAAGCAATTGAGCCACATCTGACATTGCACTTCTACAGGATTTGTTGTTTCCCTCCACTCTGTTTCCTCTTCTTGTGTAGAAATAGATCCATGTGCGTGATTTTCAATGGCTTATCAGCATTTCTCATATCAAAGTTACTTAATTGAACCTCTTATTATATATTTAGCTTATTCTATTATTTCACTGTTACAACTAATGATATGATGATAATCTGTGTAAATATACCTTTAGACTTATCTGATTATTTTTTTAAGATAGTAAAATTGCTAAGTGAAAGGGCATGCACAACTTTTTGGATGTTGCTGCATATTTCCAAATTGCCCTCAAGAAAGATTTTTCCAATTTGCGCTATCTTTGAGCGCGAGTTGGCTCCCCCACACCCTTGTCAACACCAGGCATTTGTATTACTTTCAGTCTTAATAAGATGTTTTCATTATTATTATATATTTTTCAGTTTCCCGCATATCATTCTCTCTTTTTTTCTTTTTTCTATTTTTGTCCTTTCTCACCTACTTGGTGAGAAAATGCAGGTGGTGAAACTAGAAACTGTCACTCTCTGAACTAGAAATCCTTTCTCTAGAGGCTCAAAAAGCTATTTCATAAAGAAATGTTTTTCAAGCTCTCTAATTTTAAGCATCCCAATCACCACCAGTCTGTCGTAGGCCTCAGGCCTACAAGGAGCTTCTCGCAGCCTAAGGAGAACCTGAATATATGCGGCTTTTCTTGTATTGCCTTTGGTGACCTGTGCCTTTGGGATGTCTTTGAGATGTTTGATGCTTTTTGTAGCTGGAGTATTGATCAGGGGAGCAAAAGGGAGTGATAGCGTAGCAAGAGGAAGCCTGCTTCTGGGGTCTAAAGGGTCTGCCCACACTTAAATCTCAGGAGTGTTGACACTTGTCCCAAAACTGATGCCAAAGAAAACCTTTGTCTCAGATGGAAAAGAACCACCATAATTTGAGTTCATAGAGAGCATGAAAAATATTTTTAGATATCTGTAACTCTAAAGTCATAAAAAAAATCTATTACTTCTAATAGTGACAAAATTCAACTATCTAATACTATTGTGGCTTATCATGACTGACATTCATTAATTGAAAGGCACGCTGAGTGACTGTTTACACTGACAGACAGACCTCAGGCTACGGGTCCCAGTAAGGAGAAGGGCATGTGCCAAGCTCTGTGCTGGGAGATTTACAGCCCCCATAAGTGTCTCTGTGAATCTCTGAGAACTCTGTAAACTGTCAACTCAGCATCAAGTGGTTGTTATGACCTCTTAGTGCTTACCACAGAACACTTGTACAATAGCCACATGTATTTTCCATGTGCCTTTCCAAAAGTCAGAGTGCTGGTGAGCTTTTGAACCTACATAAATACCATATTTTTCAGACCATGTCTGTCCATGTCCAAGTCATGATGCCCATTATTACCTGTTCTCTAAAACCCACTTTCACCTAAACCAAAACTAAGAATTAGTTTTTAGAATTTATTTGGATGAACGTTTTCGAAATATTAAGAACAGTAATTTTTAAAAGGATTTCTGCTAAGACTTCTCATTTACAGAGAGAAGTGAAACAGGGCCTTCTAGTACCTCCTTCAAGGGACAGGCAGAGGCTCAGGAATTCATGTGTTCCCAAAACCAAGCGTTGAGACTCAAGGCCAACCAAACTCTGCTCTTTATTGCACACTTTACCTAATAAAAACATATGTAACAAAATAGCTAAGATAGATAAAAATGTGTAAGAAAAAAATACAGTTCAGGAAGCAAATATGAAATAGAAACTATAGGAGATATTATAGGTAAGCTTCCAGATCAATGTGATAAAGTTAATGGTTATTATAGAAGTAGCCTCCAGTTCACAGAAGTTTTTCCTAAAAGGAAATTTAAAAGTCTTTTTCCCTAGAACCTTATACAGGAGTACAGAATGATGAGGCAGCAATTTCAGGCTCATCTCCACAGGAGAAAATTGAGGTCCCTGAACCCCAACCTGACCACATGTGTGGCCACCCCACAGTCCCCTCCACTGCTGATACTTCCTCCTGAGCACACCAAGATCAACCCAAGCTTCTTCCATTTCCTGTAGCTATAATTTTAGTGGAGGGGGTTCCAATATTTGTAGACACCATTTTGAAATAATTTTATTCAGAAAGCTGAGCATGTTTTGGGCTGAGCACAGGGGCCCCAGCATCTGGACAACGGAGACAGTGCCTTGGCCTGGTTGGAAAGTTAACTAGGGCCCAGGGAGTGAGGAAGTTGGGTGCCCCTTCTGAGTTCATATGGGTGAAAAACCATCCCTCTGACCTCACCCACTGGATAGCAGGACGGGCTGTTAGGGTGAGCTCAGAAGTAGGGGAGGAAGCTGAGGCCTCTGGCAGGGGACAAAGTTAGGGTGTCACATGGGGTCCATATTTGCCATTTCCAGTTGAGTGTTTGGCGGTAAGGGGGCAGGGAAAATTACTGGTGCCAGGCACTATTCACCCCTTTATGATGGCCAGAGGAGGATCTTTGGGGTGGGGGTGGCAATTCCTGGACTCAGGAGCACTGCTGGAGGTGAAATTATGTCTCTCCTCACCACCGGAGCCAATGGGTTCTGCACCGAAAAACTCAGATGGCTTCCTCCCCTGTGAGTCTTTGGGCTCCTTCCTTGACTTGTCATCCAATCTCCTCTGTGAAGAAAAGAAAAGGGACGATCAGAGTAGGAAGGTACAGAGACATCCAGGTGGAGGGAAGGAAAGACCAAGCAAGCGCAGAGCAGAACTTTTTCCACAGGAAGATGCTCTCAACACCACATCCCGGGAAAGGGGTGCCCGCCAAGACCCTCCCAGTCACCCTGGGGGCAGCATGCACCACTACGGTGGCCAACCTGTGTCCCATGCTGATTAGGAAGCTGTGGGACACGGTTTTTATGGACAGTGACCAGGGACTACAAGAGGCATTCAGGGGTGGGAGACTACCTAGGACAAGGAGGACCAGGGAGAGCCTCTGAAGGTGGACACTGCAGAGAGGAGAAGGCCCCAGAGGTGAGAAGCTGATGGTGCCTTGTGGGCTCAGCTGAAGGGTCTCCCCGGACTCACACTTCCTACAGGGAACAAACAAGTCATCTCGGGAAAAAGCAAGATCAAGTGAGGTGGCAGGAGCAGCTCCTGGCAAGAAGGGACAAGGACTCCTAAGTGCCTCAGGGAACCGCTCAGGACCTTGAGGACTGCTTCTGGGGCTTCCTCTGCAGGCCCACCTACCTTCTTTCCTTCCCAGGCAAGGCAGGACCCAGAGGGACTCCAGAGCGACCCTGGGAGGCCCCCAGCTGCAGGGACATGTCATGGCTTCTGGGAACTGTTGGTGGGTGTGTTTGGGGGGAGAAAACAGTGGCATCAAGACATCTCAGTATCAGGAGCCCACCTGGGACCAGCCCTGGGGCCCAGCCTCAGGTACCTGCACAGCCTCAGGCTGCCCCAGCTGGCAGCAGCTCTCCCCCAGCTGGGGGACACACCTTGGCCAGGATCCCTCCAGGCAATTAGGGAAACATGGGCTGTTTTCAGGTGCTTTCTCCGGCCTTCCCGGCACACTCAGGGACATTGGGAAGAGTCCTTTGCGCCATCCACCCTCCTTTCCAGCTGGACCCCACATTGACGGACACACACTCAAGGATAACTCACAGTAAAAGACAAAATAAAACCGGCATCCTGCAGCATGTCTTTCCCACAAGGAATCAGCAACTTAAGAGGAACCAGTCCTCTGTCCAGGAACGGGAACTTTAAAGGGGCACCCGGGCATCTGGGACCAGGCAGCACCTGGAAGGAAGGGAAAGTATCTCAGCCTGGCAGGAACTTAGCCCGGCCCCCGAGACCCCAGACAAGCAGCTCCTCATGCCCTGCCTTCCCGCACCCCAGGCTGCCGGGGGCGCCAGCATCCCAGGACGGCACAAAAGCAGCACCCTGGCTGCTGGGGAGTTCTGCACCAGGAGCTACATGGGTGTTCCACAGCCCAACCGCCAAGGCGCATCCGCAGCCCTGCCAGGCTGCCCGGGAAGCCCCAATGGCAGCAACGGCCATGGGGGCGGGGCTCGCAGCGGCCACTCGCGGACGAGCTCCCGGGGGCGCAGTGGCTCTGGGACCAGCGAGGGGCGCCTTGGGGTTCCCGTCTCCCCCAGAGGGGGCCTGACGAGCATCCTCCTCAATGCATAGGTCCACAAAAGGATGGCGCTCAAATATGTGCCGTTCCTGAAAAATGAGGTGTAAGGCGCGGGGGTGAGCAGCGCAGGTTTGCGAGCAAAAAGGGGGCCCCGGTAGTGGCCGCGCAGCGGGGGACACCCCGTCCGCTGACCGCCCGGAGCCGGAGCCGAGCTCGGGCCCGGCAGCCTAGAAGCAGCCAGAAACACGACTGAGGGGGCCGGGCCGGCAGGTCTGTGTCCGCCCAGTGCCCCCCCCCGGCCCGACCCCTCTGAGCCCCGGTTCTGGTGACCGGAGGGCGGGCGGGCGCCTGGGAGCAGGCGCTCAGGAGGAGGGATCCAAAGGGAAGGTGACGGGGGAAGGACGCGGGATGGGAAAGCCAGAAAGTGGAAAGATCACTGGGCAGCAGGACGGTGACGCTAAAGGGGGACATGAGACCAAAAGACACAGGAGACATAGTAGGGGCAGGTGAGGAAGACAAGCAGAGGGAACAGAACTTGGGGCCTGAAGGGGGGCAGTGGGAGCAGCAGAAGCCGATGGACTGACCCCGCCTCTCCCAAGGGGGTCAGGCTGGGGGGACAGAGGGTGGGGGGGGACAGGCCCAGGAGCGCCCCCTCTCCCTTACTTCCTTGTCCCCACTTTCCCCGCCTCCTGGACGCGCAGCTCTGGACACGACACGGGGGGGGCAGGCTAAGGAGGCGGGGTGGGCGTCTAGCAGGTGGGCGTCCTGTCCAGGAGGAAAGTGCTTCTCAGGCATCAGGGACCAGGCGAACCCCCCACTGGTGCGGAGTTAAGCGCCCAGTAGGGAGCCCTGAGGGCGGGGGAGCTCAGGCGGGCAGGGTTGGCAGAGCTGCAGGCTGGAAGCCCTCAAACCCCAGCCTGGAGGGGTGGGGAGGGGGAGTCCTCCAGGAAGGCCGCCTCCCCCACCCCAAGGGTGGCAGGTGCAGACAGGACAGGGAGGAGCCAGGTGAGGGGCCACAGGCCTCCTCCCAGGTCTGGGAGCCCCTGCCAGACTTGCCTGGAAGCCCCCGCGGGAGCAACCGCCCCTTTTCCCTCCTTCGCCAGGGAGGTCAGGTCGTACTTCAGGGCTCAGAACTGCTGCCTCAAGGGCCATGGCAGATAGGAACGGGAACTGGAATCAGAGCCCTGGGGAAGGGGGTTATTGAAAGACAGTCCATGGGTCTCCGCGTTGTCAGGGCCGATGGAGCTGGATGGAGCTGTCAGGGCCTCGGCACCTCTAACTCTTGCTGCGGTGGGAGCAAGCCCAGCGGCGTGGGGGCCAGCAGAGCTGGGAGGAAGCCTGGGGGCACAGCCCCCGGCAGAAGACAGAAGACGGTCCCGCTCCCAGGGGCCCAGCGGCCGGGCCCGCGGGTGGGTGGGGCCCGGAGACTCCCCTCCCCTGCTGACTTCCTGCTGCAGCTCTGCTCTGGAGTTTCTTCAGGGGTTCACCCACCCCTAAGTCCACTGCTTTATCATATGTGTGGATCTTTGCTTGGCACTGGGGCCACAAAGATGAACGAGGCACAGTTCCTGCATTCAAGTGCCTTCCTCCCCAGTGAGGACGGGCAGATGGGCGTGCTGAGGCGACAGCAGAAATTAGGGCCTGGGGCTTGTGCTGGCGGGACACGGCCTCTGCCGGCCCCCCACCCCCACCCCCACCACGCAGAGACCGGTAAACCCACTCAGGGGAAGTTGAACATTCAAAATATATTCCAGGGCCTCCTCAGGTGGCGCAGCGGTTGAGCGCTGGGCTGAGAAGCCGCCCGTGGCCTCTGCAGCGCTGGTTCGATCCCTGGCTGCCGCGAGGGTCCCACAAGGTGCGCAGACCTCTCCTGCCGCCCGCTGCTCCCCTCAGCAGTGTACTTCATCAGTCTGCATGTTCTGCTCCCCGCTCTGGCTCTGGTGAATTCTCTCCCCCTCCCGCGCTTCTGACTGTACCCAGTGCTTGTATAAATAAATAAATAAATCTTTAAAAAATATCCCAGGGGAATAGTGCCAATTAGGAAATAGTGCATGCTCGTGTGGGGAACTAACATGTTCTTCACCACTTAGGATTCCAGTCTAAAATTACAGTCCATATTATCAGGGTCCTGATCTTGAGCAGCAGTGATGTTGGGGTAAGGGATAGGTGGGGCCTTCGGGGTCCAGGGGGCAGCACCTCTAGGATGCTGGAAGAATCACAAAGTTAATAAAGGGTTTCTAGGGGTCAGAGACTTCCTGAGAGCAGCACAGGGCTAAGGAAGAGGTTCCAGGGAAGCCCAAAAGATCCAGGCTCTGGGGGTGGGGAGGTGCTTCCAGGGGGCTGGGATTGTGTCTGAAGCTGCCTCGTTGGTGTCCCCAGTCATAGGGCAGAGGCCAGTGGCTGGTCCCAAGAAGGTGACAGCCCAGAAGACAGATTATGGGGAGCTGGGGGTGGCCTCTGGAGAGGCCAGGAGGAAGTGAAGTGATATTTGTGCACAACCCAGGTGGTGCTTTCGGGAAATTAGAAATGAAGCCTGGTGAGGAAGGAAGGGGCCTCCCGGAACCCCTCAGCTGGCTTCTAATGCTTCTCACTCCTAGGGGAGAATCCAAGGACCAGAGACCCAGGGATTTTGGGAGAGGCCTGTTTGGGGCTGTGGGGAAGGAGGTATAAGGTGGTTATCCCAATGGCAGGTAGGGGTCTGAATCCCCCCTTTTCAGGAAATTTCCCACTCTTCTCCCTTTAAGCTCAGGCACCCTGAGAACCTAAGGCTGAGGAGGCTCAGGTGGGGCCTACTCGGCCTGGGATTTGCAGCTGGGGAGGAGCAGCCCTTCCCAAGCCAGCACCGGGGGCTGTGCCCAGGAACTGCATGGAATAAGTAGTTGCAGTGTACGGTCCCCAAGTCAAGCCCCAGGGTACCCTACCCAGAATCAGGCCCCATCTGCCTCTGGCCCAGTACCTAGACTGCCGCCCCAAGAAGTGCCATGTGTGACCTAAGGGACTCCTTCTTAAGCAACTGTGCCCCCAAGCTCCATAGTTTACAGATTACTAAATGCAAACTAGACTGGGGAAGGTCAAGGTCCAAGCTCCCTGTGGCATTGCACTCAGAAAAGGTCCCAGGAGGAGATTTGGGCTCTGGGAAAAGGGTCAAAGTTCAAGAAGGAGCAGCAGCCTGGGCCCTGGGAAGGGTAGGGCCCCCAGAGCTGGGGATTCTTCCCTCATATCCCCACAGTTGTTTCTTTTGAATCAGCTACTTGACTTGTGCAATTGTGGCAGATGCGCCCCCTTGGGGTCTTTACTATTTTTGTCTCTTCCTAGCAGCAGTCATGTGTTCCCCTTGGCTCGACTTCCAGGGGATCCTGCAGAGCTTGCCCTGTGACACACCCGAGTCCAGCATCCATGGTACCCAAATAAGCCCTTGTCACCTGCTCAGTCTCTCTCCTTGGCCCACCATACTCCACAGGCCCTTCATCCAGGCTTGTACTTCTTGCCAGACAACTATGAACTTGAACGGAGCCAGGGATACAGCAAGGAGCAGGACTTGGTTCCAGCTCTCAAGTTGCCCACTGCATCCAAGGGAAGGGTGGCCCGAATGCCAGGGGTGGTGGTCATGGGGGCACATGGCCCTTTGTAAAGGGAGCCCTCTGATGGCCACACACCCCAGTCTTTCCCCACCTTGGTCCTCACGGAGAACTAAACCACTTTATATGGCAGAGAAAAGCTAAAATGCCCCCAAAGCCCTAGTGTGAGCTATTTTGGGGGTCACAAGCAATAAGCTAGGTATCTTCTCAAGATATCATAGTTTTAAAGTAGATACTATTTTGGGTGCCTGATCCCTACATTCCTTTATGCTACAATGATTGGTGGGGACCAGGAAAAATCTTGGGGCTGTGTGTTTAAAGCAGGGAGTACTCCTTAAATTCTGGGGATTGTAGCCTTATAAGGGGGTCTGGGCGTGCCATATGGGTTTATCAGGGATGAGAGTCAGATGCTTGTTGAGGCCAGCACAAGACTGTGGAAAAGGGAGCAGTGTCACCCCAAATAGCTAGGTGTTGGAAATGTGGAAGGTGGACACTCACAGGAGTGGGATTGTGTCTGAAGCTGCCTCCTTGGTGTCCCCAGTCATAGGGCAGGGGCCAGGCGCTGGTCCCAAGCAGGTGACAGCACAGATGACAATGTGGGAGGCATAGGAGGCTTCCAGAGGAGGTCAGGAAGAAGTGGGGAAGC